GGGACATGCCCCTCTGCATGCCCCATCCCACATGGTCATTGTTGTCCCCCTGCCCTGCTAACACAGCCCTCGGCACCCCACTCCCCCGGGGACATCACCCTCAGCACCCCCCACCCCAAGGGGCACAGGCACTGGCATGCCCCCCTCCCACAGGGACACAGTCCGTGGTGTCCTCACCACCCCACAGGGACACAGCCCTCAATGTCCCCAGCACCCTATGGGACGTAGCCCTCAGCGGCCCTCTCCCGAGGGGAACAACCCCATCACCTCTGCACGCTTGACGAACTCCTCGGTGGCGGCGGTGGCGTTGTCCCGCTGCCCACGCCAGGCACTGAGCGCTGATGCCTGCAGCGCCCGCCCGTAGGAGAAGGTGAGGGCCCATGGCCGCATCAGCGGGCATGTGTTGATGGCGTTGAGGTTGATGGAAGCCTCTTCCTCACTCTGACCCCCAGACAGGAAGGTGACACCTGCAGAGAGCGGGGTTATGGCACCAGGGGGGCCACAGGGGATCCCCCTCCTGGTCCCTGCTACATCCTAGTGCCAGTACCTGGCACAGCTGGGGGCACGGTGCGGCGCAGGGCAGTGACAGTGGCCATGGCGATCTCCTCGGGGCTGTACTTAGTGGGGCAGGAGTGCCCGGGGGTCACCATGTTGGGTTTCAGCAGGGTCCCCTCCAAGTAGACGTGGTGGTCGCTCAGTGCCTTGTAGACAGCTGCCAGCACCTGGGGAGGACAGGCAATGTGGAGTCCCACAGCACGGCACAGCATGGCACAGTGCCCACCCTGCTGCCCGCTCCACTGCTCACCTTCTCCGTCACATACTGGCACCGCTTGAGGTCGTGGTCACCATCAGGCAGGATCTCCGGCTCCACGATGGGCACAATGCCGTTCTGCAAACACCAGGCAGATGCCATCATGGGGATGTCCCTGGGCATCGTCCCAGCCCCGTGGCAATGTGGGCCAATGCCTGGAACTAGGCGGTGATGCTCAGCCCTGAGGTTCAATGTCCACCCTTGCTGGTGATGCCCATCCCAGTGGGGTGATGCCCAGCCCCATGGCATGATGCCCAACCTAGGAAGGTAAATTCTTGGCCCCATGGAGCAATGCCCATGTTTGTGGGGTGATGCCCAGCCCCATGTAGCAATGCCTGGCCCTATGGGTGATGCCCACCCCATGGGGCAATGACTGGTCCTGGGGGTCAATACCCATCCACGTGAGGTGTTACCCAGTCCATGGGTTGATGTCCAGCCCCATGGGGTGATAATGAAGGCACAGGGGCAACGTTGAGCCCCATGGATCCATGCCCACCTGTGGGACAATACCTGGTCCCTTAACTCAACAGCCATCCTATGGGATCCCATGGGGCGATGCCTGGCCACAGACACGTTACCTGCTGGCAGATGCTGGCGTAGCGGGCCAGGACGTTGGCGTTCTCCATGATGGCGAGCGCGGAGGGAGTGTTGTCGCTGATTTTCAGCACGCAGCGCCACTTGGCAAAGTCGGCCCCATCCTTCTTGTACTGGGCACAGCGCTCCGACAGCCCATCCAGACCTGCCGGGCATCATGTCAGCTCCACAGCCCCAAAGCCCGTGGGCCCCTGCCCCCCTACCCACTCCACCTACCCTGCGTGGTGGTCTCGCCATCCGTCCCAGCCAGTGGCACAACACCCTTGTCCACCTGTGGAGAGAAGGGGAAGGCAGTGCTGAGCCCCACCAGCACCCTCCAAGCACCCTCAGCACCCCACAAACCCACCGGACACCTCCCACACCTTGATGCCCACGACGATGCCCTTGTCCTTGATCATCTGGACGAAGGGGGTGCCGTCATCAGCCTTCTGGTACATGGTCTCATGGAAGAAGATGACGCCCCCGATGCATTTCTTCACCCGGCTGTCGGCACTGAAGAGGATCTGGCGGTACAGCCGGCGGTTCTCCTCCGTGTTCTCCACCCCAATCTGGTTGAGGCGCTTCGCCATGCTCCCTGCAGGCACCCAGCACCCTCGTCAGCCTCAGGCATGGGGAAAAGGGGTGGCGGGACAGATTCCCCCTGCACTGACCTACGGACTCATCGGCGGCCAGGATGCCCTTGCCCGGGGCCACGATGCGCAGAGCGATGTCCGACAGCTCCTTCTTCTGCTCGGCCGTCAGCGCGGGGTACTGGTGCGTCATGGTGGCGGTGGCTGCGAGCAGACGGGGGCTGAGTCACGCGCCGGCGGGGCG